TATGTCACACACCACACACGCGTCTTGTCCTACGTGGCACAGAAATTCGGCCAGAACGTGCCAAGATTCGTGCAAATACTGCTGGACGACGATGGATGCGTGTGGTTAAAATGGCTAACGCACACACGTGTGGGCGTTAACATTTCCGTAGAATTTTAAGCATAGCAAAACGGCTGTTTTTATGACAATTTATTTTGTCGTGAGAATGACAGTTTTGTTTTCGCAAACACAACAAATCCTGACAAAAAGTTGGCACATGAAAACCATTCATTTTGCCATTTTTCAAGAAATCCGTCGTTCCACCGACGGCCGAATTCACTGTTTTTACCCTTTTGCTATAATTTAGCACCATTTGACCCTGGAGCCACCGCCGCGCTTGTTGCCCTCTCCGACGCCGCCAGTCCGCCACTACAATGTTCCACTTCCAGTAACCCTATCCCCCAGTCCGGGAACCACCCTCTGAATCCCTTTCGCCGCCGCGGCCGACGGAGCTCCCAGCTCGCTCGCCGGGCCGTTTGTCTTCTCGCCGGTTAGTTACACATCTTCGGCCTTGGAGAGGCGCTACTGGAAAATCAGATTTTTGTACGCGCGGAGGAGGGCGCACTCGGAATTTTGTTTCGGCGGCGAGTCGGATCCATAGCTCGACTCATTTCCGGATTTGAACTGCCCCGAGTCCCAGCACACCGCAAGATTCCGGTTTGCTGGATTCGGATTTGGATCTCCGTCACCGACTTGAGCAGGCCCTCGGTTGGTTTGTCTCTCTTGCCTATAAGTATCGCTGGAGCCCCGATGGAGGCCTGTATCGTAATAAGGAGCTTACGGCACCTAGCTAGGCACCCGACGAGTTTGTGCTCTCTCATCTTCAGAGCTTTGGCTGATCTGATGGGACTTTCCCCCAGTGTACTCAGCAAATTCAGAGGAGACCCGCCGCCCATGGAGAATATGCTGGAGCCGGAGCCGGAGCTGCCACCGGATATGCTGTCGAGCATCTTTGCCCTCCTCGAGGTCCCTGACCTCGTGCGCGCAGGCTCTGTCTGCTCCTCCTGGCGCTCGGTGTACACCGCACTACGCAGTCAGCTTCTGAAGCACAAACAGCGCCAGACGCCTTGCCTCCTCTACCACACCTCTGAATCTGCCGGAGAGAATGCAGCTTGCCTCTACAGCCTTGCGGAAAAGAGGGCCTACAAGTTAACCCTCCCGGATCCACCGATCCACAGTAGGTATCTGATTGGCTCTTCGCATGGTTGGCTGATCACTTCTGATGAGAGGTCTGAGCTGCACCTTGTAAATCCAATCACTGGTGAACAGATTGTTCTCCCATCAGTGAATTAGTCTTGAGCAAGTCAAGCCGGTCTTTGACGATGAAGGTGCTATTCATAAGTATGAGTTGTGGGAGCCACGGTACACTGCACTTGCAGAATTCCTTGGTCACGAGCCCTCAGTTTATGCTCTCGATGAGCTCCGTGACTATCTCTACTTGAAGGCATATTTGTTTCCTGACCCGCAAACGGGAAGCTACATTGTGGTGCTCATTCATAATCCAGAATATCAGATTTCATTTGCAAGGGCAGGGGACTGTGGGTGGACCTTTCTGCCACCAGGTTGGAACTATCAAGAATGCATCTACAAGGATGGTATACTGTATGCAGTGACAAGAACTGGATCAATTGATGCTTTTGATCTCTCTGGTCCTACTGTCACAAGGAAGACGATTCTGGGTGACATGAAGAATTATATTCGTGAGCACATATACATTGTTCAGGCACCGTGGGGCGATATGCTGCAAGTTTGGAGGGAACAGCCCACTGTAGATGGTGATGCTGGTTCAGAGAACATAAAGGAAACCAGCAAAATATTTGTATATAAGATTGACATGGCAGCAAAAAAGCTTGTGGAAATAAATGGCTTGCATGGCCATGTGTTGTTTCTTGGGCATAGCCAGACACAGTGTCTCAGTGTGGGAGAATATTCGCAATTGAAAGCAAACTGTGTCTACTTCACCGATGATGTAAGATTTATTTCGTTGTATCAGAATAGTAAACGTGATGTAGGTGTTCTAAATTTGGAAAACGACACCAGGGAAGAAATTGTACCTCAGATTTATTGCAGCTGGCCAAATCCCACATGGATTACACCCAGTCTTAGAATGATGCACTCGGGATTGATGTAATTGTGTTCAAATGCTATGACAATGGAGGCATACTCCATTTATATTTTATTTATTGAATCAGTAATATAAATATATTTTTTATCTATGGAGAACTTTTATCATGTGTTAAATTATTGCCACTGTCATGTGCAAAGTTGGAGCTTAGATGGCCTGGCCCAAGGTCCTTGTGAAAATGTTAACGCAACTGTGTTGTACAAGGAAGATAGTTACTGAACAGAGAAGTTTAGGATATTCAGGTACTTTGAGACGCTTAATTTGGTGGATCTGATTTATTCTTTCACTCAATTCTTTCAAGAAAACTGTTGAAGGCAATAAGATACCATTAGATACTATTGGAAAAGTAATACGCTGTAATTATGAGCATTAGACACACAAGTTTTCTACTGGTGATCAGCCAATAAGGACATCCTTATCTTTGAATGCGCTCTAAAAAAAAGCTCGTCTACCTTTTAGGATTTTATTTGGTCGCGAGATCTTATGGGTTTCACCTCTAGCCTACCCCAACTTGTTGCTTTTGTACCTTTTAGGATTTTATTTGGTTTCCATATCAGTTGAGTTATTGTCATTCTTTGGAGATGGAAGATCAAAGGCCTGCAGATGTTTGTTGAGGTACTCTCCTTCCTAAAATTAGGAAATACGGTTTTTTGGTCATACAACTTGTCATTTGGTTCAAATACAGTCACTTTGTTCCAGTGCATGCGTATTCAGCATGCATGGGTCCACTGTCAGCGACCTGCACTGTTTCATGCCGACACGCTCGTGGCTTTTTTGCCCAACCCCCCCTCGAATCTTGTCTATTTGTGGCTGCCGCGTGTCTCCTAACCGCTTCATCTCCTGACCATTCCGAGGCAGATACGGAGGCGTCGGAGGCGGTGTGTCAAGGCGGCCGTCGTCGGAGGAGATGGACGACCCACGTCGTCGACATCCAAGTGAAGCAGTGCCGTCATATGGTTAGTCTCTTCTCCTCTTTGTCTCGTTTCTCTCCTCTGCTCCCCGCTATCTTTTCTGTGCCTTGTATCGCCAAGGTAGGGTTCATGTATGGTGGCGCGATCACAATTAATTCATTCACGTACGTATTGTGAGTAAACGATTTTTGCCGTATGCATTACATTTGTAGGATCTATTTCTCCTGTTTGGCAATTCAAGCTAGGGTTTTTCTGGGGGTTAAGAACGAGGCATTTCTCTTGTACGGATTCAAAGATATCGTTATACAGAGATATTTCTAGGTGCGAAAATATAAAGTCTGCTTGGCTTATTGTTTTAACTCCGAGGTTTTAGTGTTTTGGTTTGGGCATATTCCAGTTATATGTTCAATTTTTCATGATTTCTTTTTCAGTGCATTGAGGTGTGGAAAGCTCTCGGGACATAGCGATAGTATGGCTAACCAAGCTTTTCAACCTCATTTTTCGGGCAAACAAGATGCCAGAAGAATGGAAACGGAGTATATTAGTACCAATCTTCAAGAACAAGGGGTATGTTTAGAGTTGTACTAATTACCGTGGAATTAAGCTGATGAGCCACACAATGAAGCTGTGGCAGATAGTCATCGAGCACCGCTTAAGAAGAATGACAAGCGTGACCAAAAATCAGTTTGGTTTCATGCCTGGGAGGTCGACCATGGAAGCCATTTTCTTGGTACGACAACTTATGGAGAGATATAGGGAGCAAAAGAAGAACTTGCATATGGTGTTCATTGACTTGAAGAACGCCTATGATAAGATACCACGGAATGTCATGTGGTGGGCCTTGGTGAAACACAAAGTCCCATCAAAGTACATTACCCTCATCAAGGACATGTATGATAATATTGTGGCAAGTGTTCGAACAAGTGATGCCGACACTGATGACTTCCCGATTAAAATAAGACTGCATCAGGGGTCAGCTTTGAGCCCTTATTTTTTGCATTGGTGATGGATGAGGTCACAAGGGATATACAAGGAGATATCCCATGGTGTATGCTTTTTGCGGATGATGTGGTGCTAGTTGACGATAGTCGGACGGGGGTAAATAGGAAGTTAGAGTTATGGAGACAAACCTTGGAATCGAAAGGGTTTAGGCTTAGTAGAACTAAAACCGAGTACACGATGTGCGGTTTTAGTACTACTAGGTGTGAGGAGGAGGAGGTTAGCCTTGATGACCAGGTGGTACCTCAGAAGGACACCTTTCAGTATTTGGGGTCAATGCTGCAGGAGAACGGGGGTATTGATGAAGATGTGAACCATCAAATCAAAGCCGGATGGATGAAGTGGCGCCAAGCTTCTGGCATTCTCTGTGGCAAGAGAGTGCCACAAAAGCTAAAAGGCAAGTTCTACAGGACGGTGGTTCGACCCGCAATGTTGTATGGCACTGAGTGTTGGCCGACTAAAAGGCGATATGTTCAACAGTTAGGTGTGGCGGAGATGCGTATGATGAGATAGATGTGTGGCCACACGAGGAAGGATCGAGTCCGGAATGATGATATACGAGATAGAGTTGGGGTAGCACCAATTGAAGAGAAGCTTGTCCAACATCATCTGATATGGTTTGGGCATATTCAGCGCAGGCCTCCAGAAGCTCCAGTGCATAGCAGACGGCTAAAGTGTGCGGAGAATGTCAAGAGAGGGCGGGGTAGACCGAATTTGACATGGGAGGAGTCCGTTAAGAGAGACCTGAAGGGTTGGAGTACCACAAAAGAGCTAGCTATGGACAGGGGTGCGTGGAAGCTTGCTATCCATGAGCCAGAGCCATGAGTTGGTTGCGAGATCTTATGGGTTTCATCTCTAGCCTACCCCAACTTGTTTTGGACTAAAAGCTTTGTTTTTGTTGTTGTCTTTGTCTTTTTCAATGCATGTCTCTCTGATATGGCCTTGAGTATGTATTGCATCATCATACGTATTAGTTATTAGACTAGAGTTATCTTTTTTTCAAGTGGTTCTGCAATAATTCAGTCATCCTATTGTATAATGGTATGCTGCACAATGCACACTGGAGGCATGCGTGAGGACATGAGTCATAACTAAAACAGCATTGGCGCAAGTCTAGAAAAAGTCTATATTACACAATAGATAGAAATGATCTGTATCCTGGTGCTTCAGTGTTTTGGTGCCAATAGCTGCCATATCATCTTCTCTTGTACTGTAGTTAGCTAAAGTTTATATTGGTGTTGATATTATGGTACCTCCTTCTCAGATGCAGATTTGTGTAATTCTTACCTTCTTTTTATGTAGACTTGTTGAGGTTGGCTCCTTACCGGGGATCTTGTAAGAACATTGCAGATCCAGTGAAGCCTTGTTGGTGTTCTGGTATTTACTTTCAGATTTTTTTTGAAAAGGGGGACTCCCCGGCCTCTGCATCAGAACGATGCATACGGCCATATTTATAGATAAAAAAAGTTCAACAAAGTCTTAATGTCTTGCAAAAAAGAAAAAAAATGGCAAGCTCACACAGAGCCACAACGCCAAGAACTGAAGGCCCAAAAGCCACAACCGGCTGGCATAACAAAAGATAGGTAAACTAATCGCCTGTCCTATTACATGACCGCCATCCAAATCGGTTGAAGATATCCCGCGCTACCATCTCCCACCGGACAGATCCAGTAACCAAACGCTTCCTGGCCTCCGTCGGAGTGAGTAAGGACCACGTACGGATCAGCGCGGTAGCCCGGAATAAAACCTGCAAAAAATGAATAGTTGTTGTTCTGTTAAAAGCCAAATCATCTCGGCAGTTCCAAATTGCCCATAACAACGCACATACTCCTACACGAATGTGTCTAGCTGTTTCGGACTCTATCCCAACAAGCCACGTTCCAAATAACGTACTGACCAAATTCGGAGGAGTAATGTTAAAGGCAATTTGCACGGTGCGCCACAAAACTCTCGCCAACGGGCAATCAAAGAAGAGGTGCTTGATAGTCTCATCCCGATCACAAAAACTACACCTAGTAGATCCTGTCCAGTTGCGCTTAACCAAATTGTCCTTTGTTAAAATTACTTGTTTATGCACAAACCACATAAACACTTTAATCTTCAAAGGAACTTTGACTTTCTAAACATCTTTGGAACTAGGAATAATACTAGAGTTAATGACATCGATATACATCGACTTGACTGTAAACTCTCCAGACCTAGTAAGCTTCCAACACAACTGATCGGGCTAATGAGCTAGCTGAACCTCCATCAGTCTACTCACTAAATGAAGCCATGCTTCCCACCGGTCGCCAACAAGCACCCTCCGAAACTGAATATTGAGGGGAATGGACTGCATAATCGTTGCAACAAGAGAATCACGACGCTGAACAATACGATACAGGGACGAATACTGGAGCGCCAACGGCGTTTCACCAAGCCAAGTATCTTCCCAGAAGCGAGTGGTGTTGCCATTACCGACAATAAACTTTGTTCTATTAAAGAAGGCAGCTTTGACTCTCATAAGCCCCTTCCAAAACGGCGAGTCAGTTGGTCCAACTGTCACCTGGGACAAAGTCTTGGACTGCAAATACTTACTACGGAGAATCTGCGCCCACGTTGCCTCAGTCTCAACTGACAGCTTGTACAACCACTTACAGAGAAGACATCTGTTCTTGACTTCAAGATTCTCGATACCAAGGCCCCCCTGGTCCTTTGGTCGACAAATGATATCCCATTTGGCTAGTCGGTATTTTCTCTTAAGTTTGTCACTCTGCCAGAAGAATTGGGATCGATAGAAGTCCAGCCTTTTCCTAACCCCAACTGGGACTTCAAAGAAGGATAAGAGAAACATAGGTATACTCGTGAGCACCAAATTAACAACAATCAATCGGCCTCCATATGACATGAGTTTTCCTTTCCAGCAACTCAGTTTCTTCTCAAACCGATCCTCGATGCACTTCCACTCTCTGTTTGTTAGCTTATGATGGTGAATGGGTATACCTAGGTATGTAAAAGGTAAAGCCCCCAATTCACATCCAAACAATTGCCTATAAGCCTCTTGTTCGTCCTTGGATCTACCAAAGCAGAACAACTCGCTTTTATGAAAGTTAATCT